GCGCCCCGCGGAGCCCCTGGGGCCTCTCCCCAGAGCCCTTCGGAGCCCGCTGCCCGCCTGCCCGCGCCGGGCCAGCGCCGTCGGTGCACCCAGGCGGCGGAAAGGGCCTACGCGGCCACAGCTCCGAGGGTGGCCACCAGGCAGCGAATTGCAGGATGGAGGTTGTTAGGTTCATTGGTGGTAAATGTCGGATAGTTGGCTCTAGACGTGGATAATTTTATCAGGAAAGCTAGTTTTTGTTTTTAAATGGTTTTAAAGGCAGAAAACTTTGTTGCCAAATTAAAGAAAAGAAAAAGAAAAATGCACAGACCGGTTGCTCACAGAGACAGCGCTAAGCAAGAAGGGAATCCCAACTGTTTAACTGGATAGCGGACCCCTGAGGCCCCCCTACCTTGGGAACTGTTCTCTTGAGTTTTCTGGCCAACTCTCTTGCCCTTCTGTGTCCTGGCACCCCCGCAGATGTCAATGTGGCCTTGCGCAAAATAGCCAACTTGCTGAAGCCAGACAAAGAGATCGTGCAGGATGGCGACCACATGATCATCCGCACGCTGAGCACTTTTAGGAACTACATCATGGACTTCCAGATTGGGAAGGAGTTTGAGGAGGATCTGACGGGCATAGATGACCGCAAGTGCATGGTGAGGATGTGTGTACACCCTGGCATCTCCTGCCCAGGGGGCCTGACCAAAGGCTGGGCTAGTTCTTTTTAGAGGGGAGCAAGGGCCCATGTGTTCTTAGGGACCAAGGATCTTGGCACTAAAGATCTTGGCACTCCCAGCCCCCAGAATAGGCAGCACTTCCTCATTAAACATGCCCCTCCGCCCGAACCAGATGGTAATAGGTAGGAAAGCTGCAGCTTTGTTGAGTCTCTGCGGTGTCTGGACACCGAACCAAGTGCTTTATACACTTGACTCCACCTAATCCTCCCAACAACCTTTGAGGGAGATTTGAGTACGCCCATTTCACAGATGAGAAAACAATCTCAAAAGAGATGAAGGAACATGCCTGGAGAAGCACAGCTAGGGAGGGGCCGTGCTGGAATTCCAGGCACGTCTGTTGACTGTTCTCTGGCTGCAGTTTGGGCTGGTGGAGGAAGAGAAGAAAGAAAGAAGAAACACAGGGAGCCTTTCTGAAGTGTAAACTTCCTAAATGACCTAGCACGGAACTACTCTAGGAAGCAGGGGACACAGCGGTCCCTGCCAGAAGCCTTCTGACCTGCCCCTCCTGGTCCCAAAACTGAGATGTGGCTCCTGGCCATCCCCTTCCCCGCCCTATCCTCCACTGCCCGCCAGGCTTCCTTCGAACCTTGCAGCCAATACCTACCCAGAAGAGCAGCTCCTCTGTAGACGGAGCCAGAGAAAGCAGCTCCGGATGGGGGAGGGGAGTGAACTCCAGCTCCCAAGGGTGGGAAGCTGGTGACCAGGAGACTCCAATTCGTGCTGCCGTGGCAGACTTCAGAAGGGCAGTCCCAGGCCTCCAGTCAGCACTCTCAGGTCACTGGGAGGTCAGGGTGCCCCTGGTCTTCCTTTCACAGTGTTGGGTCCAGCGCTAGTTTATACTTATTGACGAAGCCCTCCCCCTTCCACCATTGACCCAGAGTCTGCTGCATGCTCTCCCGCTGGGCCAGGTCCTTTACACCACAGCCCAGTGAGGGAGGGATTAGTCAGTCACCCTGTATTATGCAATAACGGGCTCCACAGGGGAAGAGAATTGCAAGAGATGGGATTTGAACGCCCGGTCTTTGCACTTTAAAGCTTATGCTCCTGCTCTCTCCCAGGCTTCTCTCTGCTGGTAGCCTTTGCAGAAACCAGATGGCTGAGGTTTGTGAGGACTGTGGCTGAGGAGTGCTGATGTCTGGGAATAAGGAGCCCCAGGCCCTGACGACTCATCCCCGCCACCCCCCTCGCCCTTGTTGATTTATCTGAAGGCAGTCGGGAGTTAGTGTCTGAGCGTGCTGTTTGGAATGATGGAAGAGGGGTAGCGGCAGGGAGTGTCCTTGGAGAGGCCACTAGTGGAAGAAAACACTAGTGTGAGAAAATGTCAGGTTGTGCCTTTAAATGGCCCAAGGCCTCTTAGTCTGCCCAGAGGCTCAGGGGGAAAGGTCTGCCGTGCTGAGGTGGCAGCCCTGTCCAAGGTCTGTTCCCTGGCCCCCTGCATGGAATTATATGTAAGAACAAGCATCCCCGGCTCACTCCTGGGGTACTCGCGCAACACGTCACACGTCTCTATTTCGGGTCACCCACAATACTTGGCTAATTATCTTTGTTCTTTCATTCCCTCCGTCATCCATTAATGCGTAAAACGTTTATTGATCACCTAGTAATACCAGCTAATGCTCATAAAGTGCTTACTATGCACCAGGTAGTGTTCACATTTTATTTTAACTCGCTCAACCTTCACAACGCCATTTTCAACCCCATTTAACAGATAAGAAAAACCGAGGCAAGATGTCTTATCGTGCGACCTTGGGGAAGTGAAGTAAATGGCAGAGGGAGGATTAGAATTTGGTGTGGGCAGCTCCAGGGTGCCTGCTGTTAACTGTTGTACTGTATTTAGCACTTTCCTCACGTGCTGTTCACTGCACCAGGGGCAGGGACACCGCTGAGCACATCGCAAGCCCTGGTGTTCAGGAATTCACAGTTTCTGCGGTGGAGACAGACACATAAACAGTTCCGAACACAGCAAGATCAGTGGTAACAGGGGAGGGAAAGCACCCAGAGGAGGGGATTCCAGGAATTGTGGAGGAGGCTCTTTCTGTACTTGATTATGAAAGAAAAGGGGATGGAAGGGAGGGATTTGGACATGGAGGGAGGGGCAGGTGGCCACCTGCAGTTCTCATCCCAGTATTAAGACAATGGTAGGTGAGCAGATGTGGGAGCCCAGAAGCTGGGCAAACTAGATGAAATTGTGCAGGACTCGTGGTCACCCTTGATGTCCCGGGACTCAGTAGATGGCCACTCACTTACCTTCCTGTCTCCCTTTGGGGGAAGGACAGCCCCTTTGCTCCAGCCTTCCCTTGGCCCCCTGCCTTGCCACTTTCTCCCGGCTGCCCAACTGGATGGTGGACCATAGTGAAGAGCATGGCTGCGGGAGGGTTAGGGTAATAGGATTGCAGCAACTGTCCAGCCTCAGGCTTGTGAGTGGAGGGGGGCCGCATGCCAAGATGCCATGCTGGCTGGGATCCTGAGCAAGGTGGCTGCTAAAGATAACTTTCACCACAACCCCTTCTGCTTCACACACTCTGCACCAACTAGCCAGAAGCAGTACTGGCGAAAGCCAATTCTCAGCGGCCCCCAACCTTTTTGGCACCAGGGACCAGCGCTCCTATGAGAACCTAATGCCTGATGACCTGAGGTGGAGCTGAGGCAGTGATGCTGGCCCCTGGGAGCGGCTCAAATACAGATGAAGCTTCACTTGCTCTCTTGCCGCTCACCTCCTGCTGTGCGGCCTGGTTCCCAACAGTCTGCGGCCAGGGGTTGAGGACCCCTATTCTAATGTGTTCTTCCCAGCACATTCCAAGAGTTTCATTTCTCACCTGGGATTATTTATTCATTTGTCCATTCTTCTCTTGGTCCTACAAGCATTTCAAGGGGCTTGCTCTCTCTTTGCAGCCCCTGTGTTATTGAGATGAATCGCACGAGAGCCCTGCTCTCATGGAGCTCAGTGTAGCGAGGGAGACAGACCAAAGCAGCCAATTATACCATGATAGTGTGCTGATGGGGGGAGGGCAGGCAGGGAAAAACCCCCTCCTGGGTCTGGGAGGTCAGGGAAAGTTCCCACAGGAAGTGGAGTGTGAGCTGTGGCTTGAAGGATAGATGAGAAGTAATAGTCAGGCAAACAGGAAGGGGACGAGAGGAAGGCCAGAGCCAAGAGAACAGCACCGGTAAATATTATTTCGGACTTGAACCTGGTATGGGGACCCAGAGGCAGCGAGGCCTCCTGACGCACCGAGGCCAGTGGACAAGACAGACGCATCTTCAAACCATTACAGCCCAGTGTTGTGATGGAAGCTTGAATAGAGCCTTGAAGAGCAAGTAGGATTTAGGGCAGATGTAGAGAAGGGATAAAAGCATTCCAGGCAGAGGGAATCATGTGCACAAAGGCCCAGAGGTCAAAAAGGCCTGGTCGGGAGGAGGGAGGAGGTTTAGGGAGGTGAGGGAGGTGACATCTGTAAGATTTTCAATGTGGCTGGAGTGCAAAATGTGGCCCAGGGAGAGGAGAGTGATGAGGACCCAGTAGGGACCCCAGATGTGGCCCTGACAGACTGTGGGGAGCCTTTGCTCGGGAGATGTCATCAGGCTGACCTTCCTCTCCAAGGCTTCCTGCCTCAGAGGTCTCTGACCCTGACTATCCCATAGAAACACAGATAAGGTTCCCGACCGGAGGGTGAAATCCGGCCTGCAGATATGTTGTGTTTGGCCTGCACAACGTTTGAAAAATTTCAGAGCCAGTTGTCGGCGATGGCCCAAGGTTGTAAGATGTCATAGAAAAATCCATGTTTCTGCTGTTCTTACCAAAGGAAGAAAACATCAAGATGCCAAAAATACTAGTTGTCTGATTATTCCTGTGTCACGTGGCTTCCTGAGACACTGTCACAGTTGCTCCCTTTAGACGGGACATTCTCCAGTTTGCCCCAGTCCTCACGCTGTTACCTGAAGTCGAGGATCAGCGGGCCCATCACGTTCTCCAGTTTGCCCCAGTCCTCACCCCACCCTGTTACCTGAAGTCGAGGATCAGCGGGCCCATCATCATTGTTTTCACCATGGGTTCCTTAAAGCAGGGTTCCCAAAGTGGAGGCCAGCAGCAGCAGCAGCAGCATCACCACCAGACCGTGACAGAAGCACAGGTTCTCCGGCCACACCCCTCGCCTACTGAATCAGAAACTCTGGGGGTGGGGCCAGCAGTCTGGGTTTCAGTGTGCCCCCACGTGGTTCTGATGCAGCTAAAGCGTGTGAACCAGTGCCTTGGAGTAAAGAAACGTCTCTCTAAAACCAGGTGTAGAGAACCGCGTGTCATCATCACCACCAGACCGTGACAGAAACACAGGTTCTCCGGCCACACCCCTCGCCTACTGAATCAGAAACTCTGGGGGTGGGGCCAGCAGTCTGGGTTTCAGTGTGCCCCCACGTGGTTCTGATGCAGCTAAAGCGTGTGAACCAGTGCCTTGGAGGAAAGAAACGTCTCTCTAAAACCAGGTGTAGAGAACCGCGTGCCGCTGGCCGGTTTAGTCCTTTGTCTGACTCCTGTGGACGTTGCAGTCCACCCCTGGAATCACCTACAATGGCCCCGGAGTCTCCCAGGCTGAGGCATGGAGGGATTCGGGTCTGTTAGCCCCGGCTTACTCAGCCTGCATTTCCAGTCTCTTCTGTTCAGGTTTTACATGACCCATGAGCAGCAGGGTTTGTCATTTTGGTGGAAATGCATAGACTAGACACAGCTTTTCTCCACCACTGCCTGCATGGCTTTGTGCATTCATATGAACTCTCTGGCCTAGTTCGAAACCAGTATCATGTATTGAATCTAGCGGTCGTCAGCTCTGACAGGGTAGGGAACCTTGAAAAAGGAAGGTGCTCCTCGACTTCAAATAGTGTTCCCCACTCCTGGACCCGAGAATCCCTCAGAATGAGGAATGACTGGG